CACATGGATAAAAGGCATTGTTTGTCTGCAGAGCTGACAGCACTGAATTTTTTCCTGGTGAATTTTTGCTTCTGCTTCTCAGATGTAGGGGATTCCCATGAAGAATTTTTCTTCTCTTGCAACTATTGCTGGCCTCACTGAGTAACAGTGTCTGTACTTTTTTTCCTTTTGTCATTTTCCCATGGGATGGCATCCCTTTGAACAAGAACTTATGGGAAAATCCAAAGATAAAAGGAAGAGTCAGAGGAGAGGAAGAACGCCTGGCTTTCTGTTAGCAAATGTTTTTAATTTTCAGCCCAGCTGTGCCATTCCTGGACTTTTTTTCAGTATTCATTACTTGGCCTGGGACAATCCAGTGGTGCTTTTGGGCAGGTTTAGAAAAAAGCCATAAAACTCTGTCTTTTTGAAGGTAAAGGTTATGAAAGTTCCGTGAGCTTTTTGAAACAGTTTCCCCTTTTTAATGTAAATTGGCAGGGGAAATTTAATTAACAAATGAATCTCCTATCTGCAGCTCTTCAAAAAAAGGAAGATGGGAGTTGAAAAGCAAGCTCCTGTTCGGACTAGCAGGGGAATTGAGCCCAGCAAGGACCTTGCTTTCTGCAGTTGAGATTCTGCTAGAACCACACAGACATTAAACTTGAAAACCCCTGTCCTAGCTGTGATGGCTGTAAACTGGCTTCAGCAAAGGGAATTCTTTGCCTCCTTCTATGAGAGACCTCCAGCTGCCCTCACAGGCCATCACAGAACTATTTTTAGCAAGCATTTGCAAGCAGCCTCTTTTCAGAGGCACACAAGATGCTTTTATTTTGTGTGTTTTAACTTGGCAGTACTGCAGCCAGTGGTAGGTGGCAGAAAGGTGATGGAAAATGTTTTCTGGATGGAAAGTCATGCTGAGGCCAGCCCACTTCCTGCCCCAGGGAGACGCTGCTGCTCTGCAGCCTGGCCCTAGGCATGGTGAGGGGCCCACACATGGGCCACCAACCCTGGCTGTTAGGGCACGAAAAATAGGGCTGGAGAAGGGATTTAGCCCTAAACCCATATATAAAGCAGCAGCTAGCTGCAGATGCAGGGGCTAGTGGAGCCCTCATTAACAATTAGGCAAATAAGGCTGCTGTCTTTGCTGTAACTCCTCACAGTTAGCACAGTGGTACAATATTTGCCTGAAGGGATGACACAAAAGAAGATAGCATAAAGCAAAGGTCTTGGACTGGTGAAGGTCATCGGCACTGCTTCGTGCTGTTGAAGTACTGTCCTTTTTCTTTTTATGTATTTATTTATTTAATTATCACATTCAAGCAGTTTTTCTATGCAATTTTATATATGGTCCACAAGAGAAAAAGAATAGAAAGAAACAAACTCAGCTTTTTGGATATAGGGTGGAGCCTGTCACAACCCTAGTTTCCTGTGTGGCCTCTCAGCCAAGTGCTGCAGTTCTGGGAAGCTCAGACGGGCCCCCAGGGGCTGGAGCAGCTGTACCTATCCAGGGACAGGGCCTGGCCCTGCTGAAACAGGAGCACAACTTCATCAACCTGCAGTCATCTGTGCCAACCTGAACCTTCTTTGTCTGCTTGTGTATTCTGGTTTAATCCCTCTGCTATGTCTGCATTGATTTCACAGAAGTGTTTTCTGTGCTTGTTATTTTGAGAGGAGATCAACATTCTCTGCATTTCTAATTTGGGATTATGTTAGCATCTCTGCTGCCTGGTCCAGCAGGCACTTCAAGGCCAAAGGACTACCTAAAAGTTACTTTACCAATGTAAAAACTGTAACCATGGGAGGCGGTTTTGCACCTGATACCTAAGAGCTAGGTTTTGCAAAAGCCTCTTCCACATCAGGCACCCTGAGCACTCAGTTGGCAAGGCTGTGGTGCTGTAGGGATGTGATGTTTGTTTTTATTCTACCTTGAAAAAAGTAACTGGCAGGGCTCCTAGAAGCAGCCTCAAGTGTCTAAATACTGAAAAGGGGCAGTAGGGTTTTAATCAGTTTTAAAACTAAGTGAAGAATTCTTGTGCTGCCTCCTCCAGCAAACACATTAAATTATAATTTCCTGATTGCCACACTGATCATGACAACTGTCTAGTGCTGTTGATTTACCAGGGTTGGTCCCACATCTTCATCCTTTTGTGGCTGCTGCTGCAGATCCTTAGTAACTGTTTCCTCTCATTTAATTGTGAAGAACGTACCTGGCTTCTAGGAAATATATCAGGAAATATATCAGTTAACAACATCCAACAAGATCTTGGCCCAAGATGTTAAAGCCAAAAGCAAAACAAAGCAGTGAAGTAGACCTGCTGTCTGTACAGGTTTGTGTACATGCAGATATCCCTTGCAATAGGACTCTGGTTTGTTGCTTCAAAAATCTGTGGACTTAGCTGCTGCAAGGGAAGCCAGGGGACACTTGACATTGTCATTTTGATAATATTTTGCAGTTAAAATCCGCATATCTCAGCTTCCCATTTACAGCTGCTACAGAGATAAGAACCAGGCAGCTCCAAACAATTAGTCCAGTGGTAAACAAGGAAAATGTATTTACCTCCTGCTTTCTAATAATAATATAAGTAACTAATTTGAAAGCTTAAAAAAACCAGCCAAATAAGAGAAAGGAAAGTTATGCAAAGTCCATTTTTGTCAGCCAGGATGAAGGCCAAAGGTAATCACATGTGCCATGTGGCCTGTATTCCTACCTCCTCAAACCTTTTCATCAGAGGTTTTTTTGGGTTGGTCATATACCCCAAAGAGCAGAATGGTGGATGCATTAGCAACCATTTCTGCACCTTGTTTAAGCTGGTATCATATGCAAGGAAATAGTCTGCAGGGTAATTTTTGGCACATAAAGCCAAGGTCCAAATTAGGGCATTTAAAGTCCTACCCATGTGCCACGGACACAAAAATATAATTAACTGCAGTGTCCTGACCAGAGTCTAATGGATCTAGAGCTCTGGTTGGCTACACTAGTCTGCTTTTATTTTTTGACTGCAGCTTATTTTTGGCAAGTCTTAAACTGATGCATTGCATATCTGGGAAGGTCTGTGTTTCTCTGCATGAACTGTGGGCTGCTTATCCATTGGTTGCATTTCTGGGGATCCTCAGGGATGAGATGTACTATATCAATTTAAACTGCTTTTATTGTTATGCCTTAAGGGTAAATATAAGTCAAGTAATTTGAAATTTGCTACCACTTGGAAGACAAGTTTTCTCTGGTGTCATTCCCATTTTTCATGTGGGAGCTTTGTTAAAGCATGTTGCTCAAAAAGCTTTGAGCTGATGCTCACTGCCTGATGCAGCAAAGAACACTTGTTTCATGTAGGAAAAAAGAATCTTGGGGAGGGAGAAGGCAGGTCTCTTGAGCTTGTTTTACTACTTTCCCTCCAGCAATAACGTTGTTCCCCATCAGTACAGCCCCTGTGTGATTGCAGGCAGAGTGGAAGCACCTAATGGGGAAAATATGAACTGGGAGCGTGCTAATAATTAAAAAGGGACTTTCCCCTTGCAGACAGCTGTGACATTTGGTAATGTTGCAGTCTCTAGTTCTTCCCAGCAAGTAGGGATATTGCAAAGGTGGAAAGGGTGGAACAGTGGGACCATGCAGAAAACTGAGCTGGTGAGCATTTGGGAGAGATAGCTAAGCCTGGCAGAGTGGACAGGGATGTGCAAAAGCAGGGAGCTACTTTTCTTTCTGTTTGGATTACAGAGAAAGTCAAAACTGGATCTGGATATAAATTTCTCTGTGGTACTAGATGATATTTTGAACAAACTAGGGACCTTAACTGAGTGACTCTGGGGCTGTCAGAGCCTGGCTGCCTGTGGGCAGTGAGAGATGTCTGTTTCAGCACACAGTTTCCTCTGAACTTCTGATGCTCCCATGCAACCTCTGTGTCTACTGTTGGTGGGTGCAAATAATCCTGAATAAACAGCAAAAGCCAGCACACAGCTCCTGTGTGCACAGTGGGAGCCCAGTGCAGCAGACAGGCACACAGCAAACCTCAGGTAGAAGCTCAGCTGCATTTGGGCGCAGGGATTTCCCTGGGGACGGATGTGGCAAACGCAGGGCTAATGAGCTGAGTGCTGTAGCCGTGTGTCAGAGCGAGCAGAGGAGCTGCCAGGAGAGGAAGCAGGAAATACGAGACAATGCTAACGGCATAGCCCTGAGAGGAAAAACCCACAAGAACAGAAGATGAACTTTGGGCTGTGTTCTTCCTGAAAAAGCCCAGGGACTGCCAGCCAAGGGACTGTCGAGGTCAGCTCCTCCTGTGCACACCCTCTTCGGAGGAAGGCAGGCTCTTTGCTCTCTGCTCCTTCTGGTGAAAGTCCTCTGGAGTCACAAAGCCCGGCAGACTGCACGGCTCCGGGTGTGGTAACCCCAGTCTGCCATCCACAGTTTGCCTGAGGCTGGCAAGGGGTGTCGGCAGCAGCTGCTGCTAAAGCAGCTCTTGAAGGGCTTGGCTTTTAGATCCTCAGTGGAAAACTCCCATCTGGGTGTTCTGGTGTTCTGCTCAGAAAGTTCCCAACGTTTTAACCCGAGTTTCTTCTGGCATAGCTGTGAGCTCTGCTCAGAGCTGGAGCATTGGCTGTGTCAGCAGGGAGCATGCAGCATTGTCCCAGGGCTGGATGTGCTCCTGCTGCCATGTCCTGGTGGGGCTGCAGCACCTGGGGTATCACATTTATTCTTTGCAGGAGAGCAAGCTGGGAGAAAATCTCCAAGGGACCGCAAAGAGCTACACTGCATTTAGAGGAGTGTTAGGTGAATTCTGATTTACACACAGAGAGGCTAAAGGCAGGCTGAGAGAGGTTAAATACATCCCATGTTCTGCATGCTCTGAGTATTGCCTGCAATCCCAGGACACAGGTTATGATAAAATCCTCTTTTTCTCACACAGCTCTCGTTCTCTCTTATTTTCATGCAGCCAGCTGTGTATTCTGAGCATGACCTCTCCCGAGTGATGGCTGGCAGCAAGTTCGGGGCCACCACCACAAGTGGGAGCTGGGAAATGAGCAGTGCCATCCTGCGGTGCGGCTCCAGCTCTGCTGCCCAGCCCGTGGTCGGAAGGTGGCTCTTCCTGCCGGTCCTGAGGTACCCGAGCTGCAGGTAAAAAATGGGAGTTGGAAATAATGCTGCATCTTACAGAGTGGGCTTGGATCAGTGATTCTTTATTGAGCTGTACTGGGAAGGAAGAGGCAGCAGATGGAGATGGCAATGGAGATTTTCTAGCCTCTAAGGAGTTTAAATTCATCTCTCTCCAAGGCTACATCCATTTAGTGTACACCTTTTACGGCTTTGATTTGTTTGGATTTCACGAAGTTATGTACTAACTTATGGTTGTGGTGTTTCCCAGACAGAAATATCTCTCCAGGATCAGCCTCTGCATTTCTTGGATAGACAGTTCATGCAGGGCAGTAAATTCAGTTCTTCTGTGAACTCCCCATCCTGTGCACATACTGTGGTGACATCTGGAGGGGCTGCCCATGGCATAGCCCTGAGGGCACATGTTGCTGGCCAACCCTACATGTCCAGGAATCCTGTACAAATGGTGGAAACTAGTCCTTGAGTTCTTCCCAGACCAAATTTCTGAGCAGGCAAAAATATAACTTGCTTGGGAAAACACTGACCTCTGGTTTAGGGTCACGGGTTTGGTTTTATGTTTAAGTCAGGAAGATCCGTGGAGGCTCTGAAACACAGTTGTGGGAAAGCCAGCAAGGGAAGTGAGGTGGGAGGGAGTGATTTTCCCCAGAGCATCAAAGAAAATCTATATCAACCCCTCTTTGAAACAACCATTTGACTGTCACACTATTTAATTATTCTACCTGCATTCACAGACACAAATCTTTTTTTGTCTGCATCCTCTGCCTCCCAAAGCCCAGCATCCCACTGTGGTCCTTGCAGCAACCTCCTGTATCCTCACCAGCTGGCAGCCCTTTTGGCCCTGCACACGTGGGAGACAGAAGCCATCATAGTCACAGAGTCCTTGTGTGCCAGGAACCCCTGCTGCTGCAGCTGGTCTGCCCATTTGGGCTTTTCCAGAGAGCTCCAGGTGGGAAAAGTTTCCCATCAGCTCTGCTTTCTCTCCATTGTCAGGGTGCTGGGCAGGCAGAACGTTACCTGTGCCCTTGTGAATGTGGTGAGGGACACCTGTGGTCAGACACCTGTGGTCAGCCCAGAGCCCGAGCACCACAGGAGCCCCCCATGAGGGCAGGCAGGGCTGCAGGGAAGGGCTCAGCCTGGCTCTGGGGGAGTAGGGGAGCCTCTCCATGCGGGAGGGCAGCATCAGCAGGGTCTCAGCTCGTGGGGCAGGGGTGGGGTGTGCTTGAGAGGGTGGAGAAGCGGAGTTTGGAATGAACCCATTTCAGCTCAGTCTAGCTCAGGCTTTTAAAATCCTGTTGGGGTGAGCTGCTGTGAGAAATCACACCACATATGATCGAGCATGCTTTGGCAGAGGCAGGAACATTTCCCAAATGGTTTCTTCCCTAAGGACCCTCCAGAGGCACCAAAATGCATTGTCTTACAGGAAGGATGGAGCCCCTGGGAGGTGGATTGGGCAGATAAAAGCCTTCTCCTTGGGAGCCCAGCTGCACATTAGTTTCAGCTGCATCATCAAAGTGAGTCATTCAATAAAAACAATTAGCTGAGGAAATATCACTAAACAGTAATAATTATCCAAATGTCCTAGCATTGACCATTTAGATGACTAAATCAACACAATCAATTGTGTTAATGAATGCTAATTCAAAGCTAATAACATTCTGGCTTATTTGATTATGTATAAAGAATTCACCTGCAGTGTTTGGACAGGATGAGGTGGCAGACCTGCCAGATTCTTGCTCACCTGCCTGTCCTGTGGACTCTGTGGATGGGTGATCCCTGACCTGCCAGCAGCACATAGCAGTGTCCCCTCCATAGCCTGTGGAGCAGTAGAAGAGTGCTTAGATGATGTCTAGGTACCCTTCATCTGGGCAGGCAGCTTTTGTGGATTTCAGAGAGACTTATGCCCACACAGAAGTGTGGTGAAGCCTCTCAGGAGAGGCTACATTCTCCTTTCTGCCTCCTTGCCTGAAGGGTCTCACAGGGCTCTGAATCTCCTAACTGGATGAGTGGATAAAGTCACATGAACACCAGGTATCCATGTGCTCTGCCTGGGAGTAAAGGGCTATGGAGGGAACTCTTGCTTAAACTGACCATTACAGTTTCAAGAACAAGTCACACTTGTAATTCATGCTGGAAACTGACCTTCTGGCTCAGGATTTTACTCTCTCCTCCTGTTCCAGTCACTGGTACCTAGGCTCTGGAGACACAGGTGTTCCCTGAAGTGCTTTATGCTCTGCATGGACTGTGATCATCGTTCAGTTTTTTATGCATGGATGTTGTTTTGTTGTGTCTAGACATTGGTATGATCCTTGCCACCTCAATAGCTAGAAATTATAGATGTTACAGATCCAGTGGGATTCAGCTTGGTGCTGGAATTACCCTCACACTTCCCTTAAAGGTGCACTGAGCTTCTCCATCCCCACTGCCAGCACACCAACCCTTCTTAGTCCATACTTGTAAGTTCTTGGAAGAGGTTAATTCTTAAGAAAAGTTTGTTCTTTATCAGTTTTTCAAGAAAGAAATCAGCAAAGATACCAAGAATGAAGCCTGCCCTGAAAACTGATGCCTGCCATACTTTTTCCACATGTCTGTAGAAATTATGTTTAGCTCTTCTCATGCTCTGCTAACACAGGAAGGAGTGAATGTGTCTGGCACAGGGACTGGTGACACACTTTTGCAAGATGGTGTGCCAGGGGTGGCTAAAACCCAGCGCCTCTGAGGTGAGCACTGGCCAGGCTGCACTCATGTTGCTCACACTGACGCTCTGTCCACTGAACCACATTTTTACCTCAGGTGTAAAACAGTGCAGGCATCAACAAGGTGAATATCTCCTGCTGCCCGCTGTCCACTCTTGCTATGGCATTGAAGGGTTTTCCAAGTGGGGCTAACATGCAGGTGAGACCCTACAATGTGCTGCAGCAGGTCTGGCTCTGTCCCTCCTGCACCCACCATCCACAGCTCCAGCAGAGGGAACAGGAGCTGGAGCCCCAGCAGGGAGCTGGGAGCCTTTGCCATCAGCCGAGGGAGCCTGGCCATGCTGCTGGTAGGAGCAGCCCTTGTACCACAAGGACTGGGCTTCTTTGCTTGCCTGCTAGTATTAACATTCATTTGCTCTCTGAAACAGACTTGGTTTGTTTTTTTTTGGGCCATTCTGTGTAACATAATCATATTGGAGTAGAATTCTTCTGCCTAATCAAATGAAAGTTCATGTAGTTAGTTTGTCTTTAGCATTTACTAATGAATGTGATTGTGAGGATTTAGTTTCTCACATGGTTAATAGGAAGGCATTTAGGTAATTATAGCTGTCTAGTGTCTTTCCACTGCTAATCGCTTTTACTGCCTGGTTCATTTCCAGACCAGCAAGTGAAACTCTGGCACACAGTTGTGCAGGGAAACTGTCCCTGTGGTTAGATGTTGCTGTATTCCTGATGGTTTGTAGGTGTGAAGTCAGTTCCCAGCTCCAACCTTAATTTCATATGAACTTCCAAAAATCACAGCCTTGCTGTGATCCAGCTTTCCTACTTGTCTGCACCATGCTGGGTCACGCAGTCCAGCACTCCCTCCCTGACACTGGCCAGCAGAAGACACTTAGAGAAGAAAAATTTAAGGAGGCAAATATGTAGTGCCCCCACACCTGGACTGTGCATCCAGCTTCCAGAGCTTTAGGAGCTTTCCCAGGCACCTTTGTTCAGAAGCTGCAGTGAATTTCCCTAATCCCTTGCTGGACTTTTCCGCATCTTTGATCTCCATGACATCCTGTGACAATGATGCTGAACAGAAAACTGCACCAAAAATCTCCAGTGTTTGTTTTAAAGCTACTAGGTGGTATTTCAATTGAGAAAAATCAATAATTCTGTTCAGAGAAACAGGGAATGAGATTTTGCTATTCACCTTTTCAGGGCACCTGTGATGTGACTGAGCTGTCACCCCCCTCTGCTGTCTCCTTTCCAACTTCAGCTAGTTCTGCTTCTATCTTAGTTATTTTTTCACAAATGAGAACATTTCCATACCTGGTTACCTTTTACAGAATGTATTATTTTTTTCTGACTATCTTTGTAATATAGAATGCAAACTATAGTTAAGAAGGATTTACAGAAAGGTAAAGAGATGTTTTCTGGGTTTTTTTTTTCTCTTTTTAGTCCTATTAATTCTGTTAATTCTGGGTGGTTTTGCCCAAACGGAGCCCTGATCTCAAGTATCCATCTTGGCTCTGAAATTCATTTCCTAGTAAAACCAGTTCATTTAAAGTCTGTGGCACATACAGATTTTCCCCCTCAGATACTGTTTAGTGCACATGTTCATGTGGAATTTAATGCAAAATCTAACTTCTTATTGCTGTGCATTATGAAATCACATTAGGAAATATTTCTGTACTTTTTAGCTACAGTTTAATATTTTTTGAATAATTCTTCATCAGCTGCAGCCTTTGCTACTTTGCCCTTCACTTGTTTCCTTAGATCATGTGGTAAAAGACTTGGCATTATTTTCTTTTAAAATCTGGGGAAGGAAACATGCCTGTTACACAAGCTAGTGAAGTATGTAACCGTGATTATGCTAATGATAATTCTCATAACCTTTTTTGTCATTGCGCTGTGCTTTGATAGTTATCTTGTTGCTAACAAACAATTCATAGCTGTTTGGAGCAGTGCTATCTTCTTAGGAGCTAAATGGGTCAAGAGCTTTCTGCCAGCAGGAGAGATCTCTGTACTGGTAAGGTGAAGAGAAGCAGGAGGAAGCGATTTTTGGCTAATATTAAATTAAAATTAGGAGTTGTGACCACCGGTCTGAGAGACATGAGGAATCCTCAGAAACTCTAGCATCCCTCGCAGCAGCCGCTCCTCAGTTTACTATGACGGTATTTAATTTCAATTAACAAATTTTAGTTTAGTTTAGTGTAGTTTAGTTTAGTTTAGCATTACTTCCCCCTCGTCCTTTCCTCTTTACTCCCCCCAAGGTTTTAGTGCGACACCCCTCTCCGTGCCGCTCCTTTCGCGATGGTGGAGCACGGGACAAGAGGAAGGCGGAGGGGAGGGGGACAAGGGGAAGGAAAGGCTCCCGTTCCCGCGGCCGCAGCCCGGGGAGGAGCTCTCCCTCCCGCCGCCCCTTCCCGTGCGGAGCTGCGGGCAGGCTCAGGGCGGTGTTGGGTTTCCCTCTAGCGGTGCCTGGGCCCTGCACAAGGACGCCGTGTCCCTGCCAAGGGGCTGTCCCTGCTCGGCACGAATGGCTGGGCTCGGAGCCCGCCGAGCTCACCTCTCCAGCGGTACCGGGCCGGGGAGACGGGAACAGCTCTGCCTGTACGGCTGAACCAGTACAGCCGTGCTCCTCCTCGGGCCCCTAAGGGATGTTTGTACGAAGGACTCTTCTTCTCTCCTTGACCATGTGGAGTCAGTGTTCTTGTTGCATTCTTGTTCCATAACGGCACTGTTTGGTGCAGTCCAAGGCTGGTGGCATTTGGCACAGCATGCACGGCACAGTTCAAAAGCTTGTTTCCAGAAGTCTGTACCCGCATGAGTTAGGTTCTGAAGCATCGAGCTTGTCCCTGGTTACCTGATGCCTCTTTGGGAAGTCCGTGGCAGACTGTGTGACTTTCTCACTGATTTGCTATTACAAGCAACAGGCAGGAATTGGTAAAAATAACAGCAGAATTGTTGAAAACAGCCATACTACAGGTCTTCAGAAATCAAAGCATTACATGTATGAAAACTGAAGTAAAAAGCCTTGTATGGATAAGAAACTCTTCGCAAATAGTGTCCAGAGATATTCACAGTTTATCACAGAATATTCTGTGTTGGAAGTGACCCACAAGAATAATTGAGTCCAACTTTTAATCTTTAGCCACTGCATGAACATATAGTAATCACCTTCTCCACAGCTACTTGCAGGGCCTTAAAGTTTTCTCAAGATATCCTGGACAGGGTATGGGATTTTCAGATTATTTGAAAAATATCCCATGTCTCAAGGCAGTTGCAAGTGGGTAGCTAGATCCTCCAGCTCCTCTTAGATCTAGTATAAATGGCATCAGTGAGTGAATTGCAGAGATCCTTAATGGCAACAGCTGAGAGCAATATGGAGCATGCTGGCTTGAGCCCAAAGGTGGGGCAGTCCTGCAGGGTGTCCTGCCCAAGGATGGGGCACCCTGTGCCCACCTTCCTGGAGTTACTCTGAGCAAACATCGTGCCTGCTCCTCACTGCCTATTGACTGTGAATGCTAGAAAGCTCGATGCAGATATTTTTAACCATTCCTGTGCACAATTAACCAAACCAAACACCTGGGAGGAGTAAGGTGCAGGACCTGCTGACCCAAACCTTCAGGCCTGTCTGCATTGCCTCATTACCTTGTGCCCTTATGCTACTGTGTTTCAGAGTAAACCTCTCTCCCCTTGCTGCACATTCTCTTCTGAGACAGGTAAGACTGTTGAGGCAATGCTACCTGTTGTTGACCCTCATTTAATCATCTTACCATGCTGTCAATATCACATGGATTCTCCAGCACTGCTGTTGGCCTTGCTTCCTCCACATATTTTCCTGCTAACCTGTTATCTTTCTCCCTCTCAGTCCCTTCAGCAGCAGCTGCTAGAAGCCATTACTGGGCTGCCCTCTTCTCATTCTAAGTGGGTCTTGTAATGAGAAAAGGAAACGTTTTTTTCCTTATGTCTGGTAGGGGAAGCAGGTGATTCTTCTGATTATTGCCCTTAAAATGAATAAGCTATTAAGGGTACTTTAAAATGTTATTAGTGTGTTGAAGTAGTAATGTTAATAGTTAATTCATGCTCAATAACATTATATCTTTTAAATATTAGTATTATTATATTGTCTTGTCAGAACAGCTTTAAAGGTTCTTCATGGGCTTTTAGTTAAGGCAAAGCACCAGCAGTGGGAACAGCAGAGCAGTGACTGTGGGTGCACATCCAGCTCTGGGTGAGATGCAGTCATGGGGCTCAGACACTTCAGTTCCAAGCTGATCTGCCCCTCAGTGATTGTCTGACCCTGGCTTGAAGGCTGTGGGTGCTGCATTGCCATGTGGGGAAGGACTGCAGCTGCTGAGTGTGCTGTGTTTCTGCCCCCATGCAGGTCCCAGGGATCCTCAGCCCATCATCCTGCAGGACTTGGTGTACTGGTGCTTTCCTTGGAAACAGCCCCTGCTCATTTTCCCAGCAGCTCGTTGGTTATTCCATTGAGGACCTTGCATCCCTTCCTCCCCATGTGCCTTGGAAGCACCTAGGCCAGTGAGCTGCTCATTACACACCTTTGGCAAGGTGCTGCTTCGTGTAGACTCTTCAAAATTTCTTTTGTTGCAGAAAAAGGAGCAACTGGGGAAAGATTTCTGCAAAAGAGGTGGTGTCAACTCTAGTCCCTGGACACAGCTACTCGGTGCCTATGTCATGGAAACAATAAGCTCTCATTGGAGCATGGCCTGAAGCCCTGGATGTCCTGCTGTCCAGGTGAGCACTCCCATTCCTCCATCTTTCACAATCTCCTGATTGTTTGCGAGAGTTCAAAAGTGAATGGATGGAAAGGCCAATCTATTAAATCTATTAAATAAAATTGACACCACTCAGAAATTGCCTGAACAAAGAGAGACAGCACCAAAGAATATTGAGAGGCAGTACCACTTTATGCTTTCCTGTTCCTACATTTTTCTCCAAGCACCTGCTTTTGGCCATTGTAGGAGACAAAATACGAGACTAGATTGACTTTCAGCAAGTAAGCAGGATGTTTTTATAAAAATATATCTATAAAATATAAAATGCATGTATATTTACAAAGCTACACAGGCCTTTCTGTACGGTCCTCTTGGTAGCATTTTACAAAATCCCAAGTTATTTTGTGAATGAATTTTGGGTGGTGATTCTAGCTGTATGAGAAAGCTTAAAATTAATCAGTAATAAAGTAATGAAAATGAGAATAACATTAAGGCTGCAAAGTTAAGCACTTAGAAGGAAGAAAATGCCAAAATAAAGGGACTTGTACTCTTGGGATTGTAATTTTTTTGAAAATTCCCAGTCAGATGTCCTGCTGTGTGTACCAGAAGATAGAATGGCTTTACAGTAATACTCTATTTTTAACATAGGCTCCCTCCCTGGTTTGTATCCCAGTGTGGAGAGTGACTGGCATTGAATGAGAGCACAGAGTGAAGAGAGAGCAGCCTGCAGAGTCCTACATGCTCCTCCCTCCTGCAGAAGCCCGTGGGCAGAGAGAGGAGCTGCTGGTGAACACTGACAATGGTCATCAAGTTCTCTGAGATGGTCACCCAGGGCCCCTGAGAGCATGCCAGTGTGGTATTGGATGTCTTCACTGAAATCACATTTTTCAACAGAGGGTTCAGAGGGCTGCTCATTCTGGGTGCTGACTGAGGTCACCTGTAGAAGTGTTTGTCCCAGCTCACCTCCAGTCAGCTAAAGCTGTGCATGCCTGACAGCTCCACTTATTACTGGTGAAATTTCTATGTCAGGGCCTAGTTCTAAATTTCATTTTCACTGGAAGCAGGATTAGCTCCAAGTATACATAAGCACATACTTTGAAGAATGTATCTTTGTGCTGAAGGCAGTGTCTATGCAGACATTTATAGTTAGGCACTTTACTGTAAAAATAACATGAGAGCAAGTGTTTTGATGACAACAGCACTGCTAACCAGAAAGTTATCTAATGCTTTATATGCAAATACATGTAAAGGGTGAAAAATTGGATGTTTTGGTATAATAATTTTTCTATTGTGATCAGATATGCATATACAAATAGCTTTCATGCTGGCAACCTGATAAACATGAGCAGCCAGCAACTAATACAAAGATGGTCTCTCCTCTAACAAATGAGCACTATTTGTGGTGTTTAATACTGCAATGATTAGCAGTGATGTGTAATCCCTCTGCCCAGGACCTCCCCAGCCTGCTGGGCAGATGTTCTTGCAGATTTTGGCACTTGAAAGTGAAATCTGCTCTTCCTTAACCCCCAAATTTTCATGAGTGACAATGTTTTCCTCTTCCTCTTATCTCTCATAATTATTTCAGTTCTTTTTTTGACTCTGGTAACACTTCCACTTACCTTAGTCATTGTCTTTCTGCCTCAAATGTAATCTTTTTTTTTTTTTTTTTTTTTTTTAATGGATCACATTTGTCTCCGTATCTTCTGCTCAGGTAGTTTTCCCACAAGTGGCACTGTTGTTCTTTGGGGTGATGTTAGGGCTTAGGGATGTGTTAGGAATGCCAAATGTCACTAGGCCTGTACAGAATTCTTGGCCCACAGTAAAAATAAGAGTTTCCCTAGGGACCCTGATTATGTGGGACAAACCATGGAGATTGAGGGTGAGTTTGTCATGCTTGGGCTGAGTCTTTCAAGGGCCACGGAGAGACCAAAAAAACTTGTCCAAAATGTCTCATTTAGGCTATGGTGGGTTGCCCCTGAAAGTTATTGTCACATGAAAGGTGCTTTTATCCCCCCAAAAAACCTCCAAACAACAAAAACCTCACTGTTTTCATAATCTGTTAAAAGATGACTGAGAGCCTAAGAGAAGAGACTGTATTTTTCTAACATGTTGTCATAGTTGTGCCTGAGAACAGTCTGTGAAAAAATATACCTGCGGCTCAGCCTGAAAATTGCCTCCCAACAGTTAACCAAGTTATCACTTTCCTCTGGGATCAAGTTGAAATGTAATTAAGGTTATGTCACTTTGGAGGAGTTCACTGGTGACATGGTGGGTAGAGGGAGGCAAGCCTGTGGAGATGAAATATGCTGGAAATTAGCATGAGGTATTATGTACTCACACCAGTCTTTAGTGTGTCCTGGCAGTTTGTCATGAGAGAGTCTCTTGAATGGTGATGCTTTGACTGTGACATACAACGTGAAAATGGGTGTTGAACAGGAAGGCAGGTGTGATGGGGAATTTTCTAGAGTATTTGGTCTAAACTTAATATAAACAGATTACTGGGGGCAGGGGGAAGTGTGACTAAATAACTACTGGCATCCTTTATCTGTGTGGAAGCAAGAGAGCTTGTCCTTGAAGTGAGAAATTTCTAAAGTAACAGTTTCTAAAGTATAATCTGCTCAGATTTTGTTACTTCCCAGCATGTCTAGAGGTTAGAGACTGCATCAAAGAGAGTAAAGCCTTTTACTCTTCATTTTTATTGTCCGTTTTTATAATTAGAATTGGAAACTGTCATTTAGCAGCAAATTTAAAATAAAAACATAACTTTCACAAAGTCCTCAAAGAAAACAAAAAATCTTATAGGTGTTGACACATCCTATCATCAGGTTTAGAAGGTAAGTACCAGAAAAACGATTGTTATCAGGTGTGAATTAACATACAGTGAGTTTGCTCACAGCTGAAGAAGGTGACAGATATAACATATGCATTAATAAAAGCCCAAATGGAAGGTATGGCCATAATTAGAAATGGTACTTGAAGAAATGCTATTGATTCCAGGAACTGAATTTAATTTGATGGCTTTTACTGTAATTAACACAATTGTTTGTATCAGCATAGATCTCTTAATATTATTGTCTAAGCTGACAAATTATAAGATTAAATGTTCATTTAAGATGTAATTCAAAAAATTTTAAAGACTTTCTTGAGTCAATGTGTCTCAGTTAATTTCTTTAAAGCTAAAGGACCTGATTTTTTCTGCCAATTTTCAGTGACTGAAGCTACTCCTGATTTATATCAATGCTGCAATGAAAGCAACATAAACAAAGGAAGCATTCACAGGTTCTGATGAGTTCTTGACAGCCCCTATTGCCTATACTTTGCAGGCTTGAAAGGTATTTTCTTTGTAGCATTAGATTTTAATGGTACTGAATGTAACGTGCACATATAATAGCAATAATTCACTTTTCTTGTGTTTGCGCATTTACCTTGTCATATATCTGCTAGATGCAGGGTCTGGTTCTCTTCTCTTTTACACCTGTTTTACCCAAGGGCTGTTTATTTTGATGCAGTTACTCCTGATTTAGATCTGTGTATATGAATCTGTTATCTGCGAGAGGTAAATTAATGCTTTTAATCAAGGCCACTCTTCTGCCTACCCATCAACATCAAAGCCTAGACATGCTATTAGTTATTGAGAAAGGGAGCACAGTGTGAGTAAGCAGCCCTCAGCTATCTCTGGATCCCCATTACCAGAATTTTAGCACCATTACCTCAAAACCATGAATACTTTTATCCTCTCAGTCACTTGGAAAGGCTATATAGCCACATTTTGCAGACCAAAACCACAAAGGGAAGCAGAATTTGGACAGAAATAAGGTGCTTAAATCCCAGTGTAACTCTTAAGACCATTTTCAGCAGCTGCTACCCAAAGTCTCCCTACTTGGAAGGTGGCTTTATTGTGGATCCCACATACCTGAAGATTTTTTTTTTTTTAACATACTTTGAAGGACCCTGACCTTGTCAGGTCATAGCAACTACCTGTTCCAAGCCTTGCTCTGTCAGAAAGGACGCCTCAGCAGGATTCTCTCCACAGGGTGGTGAATCTGTGTAGGAGGATAGAATATAAGAAAATAAAGATAGTGTAGAAAGTAATCTTACCCCTAAGGAGTTGCAGGTGGGCCAATTATCAAAGATTAGGAGCAGGCCTGACTTTAACAGGCCACAGCTGTGACCAATGAGAAGAAGAGTGCCATAAAGAGTGGGTTGGCCCCTTAAGAAGGGAGCTGGAATCAGTTGGCTGCTTTGTGAAGGAGAAAGAGTCAGTGCTCTGAGGAGCTGCTCATGAGAAGCACCAAGAAGGTATGAAGCTTTGGTGATAAGGAGACAATGGTATGGAACCCCTGCAGTAAGATGGTAACAAATCTGCCACTATGTACTTAGAATCTGTGGAAATCCTCAAGGCAGATTTCACATTTAACACCACTGGAGTAACTTTTACTGTACTTTGGCCATATACAGAAAGCTCTGGCAGCCTTGTCACTGGCCTTGTATTTGGTAATTGAATGGCTAGATCAGTCATGCAGGATGTAGGTGAGGGAGGAGGATTTGGGAGGATTCAGATCTCTCTGTGCTTGCTTTGAGTTAACTGCTCATGCCAAGAGCTAAAAAGTAGGACTTCCCAATTTACTAAGATCCACTAATTTCACTGAGGCCTGGTGAAGGTGCAGTGCATCTCTTCTGTTTCCACGTGCCATCCACTTTGGTGGAACCAGGCCACTCTGCTAAGCTTACTTCCTTGGAGATGGGTAAGAATTATTTATGCTTGATGCCTTGTAGTCCAGGTAAAATATTCCTGAAGGCCACCAAGCTATAGGGTACTGTACAGAACAGCTGTTGAATGAAGTTGTATGAGCCACTCTTGGAGCAGGGACTGGAAGAGGTGGTTAGATTTTCATCTGGTTGTCTTAGACACCAGGCAACAAAGTTGATCACTCTCTTTTCTCTTCTTAGTGAGTATTTTAATAATTCAAGAACGTGGCCTCATTCCTACAGAAGGATTGGAGAGTACCCCAATACAACTAAATTTCATCAGATGGTGAGGGATACTTACAAGAGGGATGAGTGGACACTCCTTGGACAGATAAAAGCATTTGGGGTTTTTTGTGTGTCTTGGGTGCATGTGATAAACTGTTGTATGAGGGTGTAAAATATGGTGTAGTGCAATACAGAAGCTCCTAATCCCTTTTTTGTTTTTTTAAACACATGGCTAATGAGCCTACCTTAGGAAGAGGGTGCAGGTCTCTGCATCACAAGTGAGCAATGGCACTAGGTACAGTGCTGCACCCAAGTCTCCTAGGGAAGGTTGGAGGTTACCTTACCAGCCCTAACAATGTTCCTTGGCCTCCTGAGGTATTTCCCTGCTCCATGTGCCAGCAGCTGTGATCCCAGCTGCGAATGGTCCTCGGCTCTGCAGGTGATGCTGGGTGCTCAGGTGACGGCTGTGGCACCTTCCAGGGGAGGCTGGCCCTGTGAGCTGAGTGCTGCAGCGAGCAGCCAGCCCAGTGTGGCACCAGCAGACCCCGGTATTAATTAAGAAGCACATTTAAAGGGTGTGTCAGCGCTGCAAGACATAGATGGTGTATATCTAACGGGCTGGTGGGTCTGCCCCGCTCTGGTCAGCTCCTCACCTCCGGAGAGCAAAAAATTGCCAGGGCCCTGGCACCCCTGCGCTGCCGGCC